TGACTCCAGAAAAGCAGACTGGGATACATAAAGTCATCACCGAGGAAGCTTTGCAAGAAGCGTCTAGCTCTTAAATATCAGTTATGTTGGCTAATTTTCTCACACAGTTACATCACTCTGTAATCGCCATTTCATCTCCATACCTCCTGGGAGTGCAGCATAGACGCCTCCAAGGTCTTGAGCTTCTTCTCACTCTCTTTGGCTTCATTGACAGCTTCATCTCTGGACAAACGAAGCTCATCCAGCTCTCTCATTATATCTTTCATTTGGGCCTGGAGTGTGGACATGAAATGTATTTAAGGTGAACCTTTAAATACAGGCTGTCAGCTCATTTTACAAAAGATTAAAAACTATGACAATGGGTGGTAATTGGTTTTATGGCATCTGTAAGTGTATAATAGTCTAATTTTAGAGTGACAAGTCTCTGTTTATGGATGCATGCTTTCATATTTTACCTGGAGTTTTTTCAGCTGTTTGAGGGCGTCATCGCGTCCCTTGTTGGCAGCATCGATCTGGGCTTCGAGGTCGGCCAGGTCCGTCTCCAGTTTCTTCTTAGATGAGAGGGCTAGAGCGCGCTGCCTGCGCTCATCCTCCAGCTCAACCTCCATCTCTCGCACCTTCGAGGTTAAAATGGGTAAGAAAGAAATCATGGCTCAGCCAAATATTATATATCTGGAAAGTAATTATTTTGTGACGTGTTGGGGGAGCTAAGAGAGTTCTCCCATCATGCCTTGGGACATGTGCTGCTGTTTAGATGCAGTACCATAAGTGAGTTCGGTTAAGCTTTTTTGTGTAGCACAAGCAAGTGTTTAATAAGGAGCTCCCCCTACCAGCTTGGGGGTCAAACAGCGAGCTCAATCCCTGTGTGGTGCTTTCTTGTAAAGATTCCTCTGCTTGCCATAATATGTTTGTAAATTCTCTGTGGAACCTGTTTAACAAGCTGCTTCCTCCTCTCTTCTCCCTGCTCGTCTCTGGCCTGCAGGTCTCGCTCAAACTGGGTCTTCATGGCCTGCAGGTTGACCTCCAGACGTAGCTTGGCATCTTCTGTGAGCTGCAGCTCATCCTCGAGCTCCTCCAGCTGGATTTTCATCTCCTCCAGCTGCTGCTCCATGGCACGCTTGGATTTCTCCAGGTCATGAACCTGAAGGTGAGCAGTTTGCATTGATAAACAGATTTTGAGTAAAGTGTTGCTCATGACCAACTTCTGCTGAGACAAGTAAAGGACGCCGGCACCGTCTTACATTCTTGCCGACGTCGTCTTTGGACGAGACCAAGTCTTCCATCTCAGCTTTGAACTGTTTGTTGGTTCGGTCCAACTCGTCCTTCAGGGTCGTCATGGTCTCCAGCTCACGAGCCAGATTCAGTGCTCGTGTCTCCTTCTCTCTGGCTTCAGCCTCAGCCTTGTCGCGTTCCTCAGCGTACCGAGTAGAAATACTTTTTTCCTCTGCCAGCATCTAACAGGAGAAGAACAGCAGAAATAAAATGCTTCATTTGTGAAGCAAAAGATCCACTTTCTTCTTCAACTCAAGTGGCTGAGAAATCAGGTTACTCTACCACACCCGTAATATTTTAAAATCGATTATGTGTGAGAGGTACATGACTTTTTGTCAACGTCTCGGTTCTTTACTTTCTCCGTTACTGTGTTGAGCAAACAATCCTTCATACACAACAACAATCCGACTTTATATGCATATTAAAGAAAGAAATATAACCACTAATCACATCTCACTAGGACAGTAGGAAACAGTCTGCTCTTATGGCCCTTTGATACCTGATCAAACTTCTTCTGCTTTTTCTCCAGGTTGGACACGATCTGCCTCAGATGGTCCTGGTCCACCATGAGGTCATCCAGCTCCTGCTGTAAACGGGTTTTTGTCTTGTCCAGTTTGTCATATGCTGCCGTCTTTTCCTCCAGCTGCAGTGTCATGCTCTCCAACTCCCGCTGGATTTTCTTGCGGTTCTCCTCGGCCCCCTCGAACGACGAGGCCTCGTGTTCCAGCTTCTTCTTCATGTCCGCCAACTGAGGCGGGGGAAAAAGAAACATTTGTAGACGTTCTTGATCTGTGGTAACTGAATCAAGGTTACAGCAGAGGAGAAGATCTCTATTGGCTGCTGTGTTGTATTGCATTGTGGACCGACCTGGGTCTGCAGAGTGGAAACCTGCTTCTCCACGTTCTTCTTGTTTTCCTCCCCCTCCTCCAGCAGCTCCCGCAGGCTGTTCTGCTCCTCCTCCAGCTGCCTCAGGCGTGTGGAGAGGGAGAGCTTCTGACGAGTCTCCTCTTGAAGCAGCTCCTGTTCAGTGAAGGAAATAGAATATAATCCGAGAAGTACAATAACTTATTACTGGTTTGCTCAGGACTTCGACCAGTGATGTCCACCCTGAATTACTTTTATTAAAAATCTTTTTCTTTATACAAAAAAGTAACATGAAATTATTATTTCTGCATTTTCTGTCCTTGAATATAATATGTGTAGCTAAGTTTTATAGCATATAAACTAAAAAAATAAACCCTTTTCATTAGAAGTAATAATGAATTTTGGCATTTTCACCTGTGCATCCTGCAGCTGAGACTCCACTGAAGAAAGGTCCTTGCTGGATTTGATGTTCTTGCCCTCTGCTGCACTCAAAAGGCTGTTTGCATTGTCCAACTCTGACTAGATATGATGAAAAAGAAAAAAAAAAAAGTCCATTAAATAACAATTCACTTGCAGCTACATCCTCCTCCTGTACAAGCGGTTAAATCAACCTTCTACCCCTTAAATAAATCACCCCTGCCAGATGACTAGTCATACCTGCATCTTGGTTATCTTGTCGGCGAGCTCCTTCCGCTGGCGCTCACTTTCTCCATGTTTGACCTGCAGTTCTTGAACCTGGGTTTCGGCCTTCTTGCGACGGTTTTCCGAGTCCCCCTTACCTTGAGTCAGAGTCTTCAGCTCGATCTGCAGCTCATTCAACTCGCTCTCCAGGGCATGCTTTGTTTTCTCCACTGATGCTTTGTTCTGCAGGAGCAACAAACACCATTTTTATTTTTTATTTATTTATTTATTTTTAAGATGACTGCTGACACCATCTTCTGACCAGTTTTTAAATAACCTTTTTGGCCTGCTCCAGCTGTTCGTTGAGCTCATCGAATGCCTGACTGTGTTTTTGCCTCATATCGGCCATCTGCTGCTCATGAGCCTTGGCCTCATCCTCGAGTGTCTTCTTCAGCTGGGCAACCTCACTTTCACGCTTGCTCCTGCATGGACAGGAGGAGGAAATAAATGACCAGAAGCACAAATCTCAAACAGTTCGTTTACATTCAGTAACTGATGAAGGGCTATCTTAGTCTTGAATCTCCTAACATACAGACTTGTATTGTTCAAGTAAACATAAACAGACTTAAGGTCCAGAACTTGAAAGGAATCGGTTATCTCATTTTCCAATAAATTGTTGGGTCACATCTATGCAAGCCTGACTGTCACCTCAGCTCCTGCTGTGCTGCAGTGGTATCCAAAGTGTCCTCCAGCTCAGTCTTGAGTGCCTCCAGCTCCTCTCCGAGGTCTCGCCGTTGTTTCTCAGACTTGGACCGTGCCTGCCTCTCCATCTCCAGGTCCTCCTGGAGCTCTGAGATCTGGGCCTCAAGCTCTCTTATCTTCTTCTGGGCCGTGTTCTTGGCTGCAGATTCTTCCTCAATCCTGGAGGTTAGGCAGAAAGAGTTAATAAAACAAAGCCAGTCTTCCTTTTGTTAGTTAGGGTTAGGGTAAGCCTACCCTAAATGAATTAAGTATTGGACTAACCTAGCAAGTGCAGCCAGGAGTTCCTCCTCTTTTTTGGCCAGCTGAGCTCTGAGTTCAGCAATCTGGGCCTGCAGGTCTGCAATCTGGTCATGGAGCTCAGTCGAGTCTCCCTCAAGTTTACGTCGGTTCTTCTCCAACTCCTGGCGCACCTTCTCCTCTTTTCTCAGACGTTCTGCATTAAGAAGAAAAAAATAAAGTAGGAAAAACTGCAATCGACTCACAGTAGATTCAAAAACAACCTCAATGATAAACACTTGCCCTCCAAATCTGTGATCATGGCTTCATGTTTATTCTTGAGTTTCTGCAAGCTTTTGGACTTCTCTTCCTCCTCAGCAAGGTTGGTGGTGAACTCGGAAACCCTCTCCTCCAGCAGTTTTTTCTCCTGAGGTAAAAATGTATAAAACATGAACATTTAAATTGTTGTTATTCTGCTGGAATATTTCAGGGTTAAAGAAATATTCTTTGTATTGTGAAATCATCAGTATGGGGAAGTTAGCATGATGTACAACACCTTGTTAAGCTTGTTGTTCTGGTCATCCAGCACCATCATGCCCTCCTCGAGTTTCTTCAGCTTGGCATCTGTAGTCACTTTCTCCATCTGGAGCTTCTGCCTGGCTGCTTCCTCCTCATCCAGCTGCTGTTCAAGTTCCTGTATGAACCAATAAATACAAATAAATGATATTAATAACCTTTCCAAAAGAACATTGACTTCTCTTAAAGCCCGTCGCCAGGACTTTACAGACCGTGATGTTCTGCTGCATCTTTTTTCTCTCAATTTGCATCTGAACGACCCTCTCCTCCTCTTCCTCCAGGCGAGACTCCATGTCGTGGAGGATTTCTTCTAGCTCCTGCTTCTTGATGGTCAGACGGGATCGCACCTCCTCAGCCTCGGCACAGAGGTCCGTCTCAGCCTGAAGCTGCTCCTGAAGAGCCGATTTCTCTGCATTCAGCTACCAGAGGAGAACAAAGGTTAAATCTTCAAGCTTCAGAAGACTTCTCATTGTGACATGTGTGTTATGAATTTTTTTTTATGTTCTTGGTTTAAACTTTGCCACATTCACACAAGAGAAAATTTAACTGATCAAAAAGGTTAATATGTGATTCTTACCTGTTGCTGCTTGGCCTCATATTCTTTGATCAGCTCCTCAGCCTTCTCTTGTTTCTCCTTCACCTTAATCAGCTCCTCTTCCTTGGCCAGCATCTCCTCCTCCTGCCGACTCACCTGCAGCAGAGGCTTCACCTGGAGGAGTGAAGAAGGGAAAAAAAAAAAAAAAGAAAAGGAAAAAAGTGGTAAAATGGCACTCAAGAGAAACTGAAAGCAAAAAGAGTGAACATACCAACACTAAAATAACAAAACCTGATTGGAGACAGTTTGGCAAGTTCAGGTAAACTCTTAAAACTAATTAACTAATTTAATTAAACTTTAAGTTTTCTAAAATAATTAATGTCATTTGTCACACAAGGAGTGGCCTTGAAACCAATCAATCTGGTCTGCTTACTTAATCACTGCTTACGTTTGTCCCAAGTCATATCTCTAACCCCACCCATGAACCCCCCCCCAAAAAAAACAAAAACAAAAAAACAACACCCAATATTTGTCTGTTACCTTGGTGAAAAGTCTCCACCACTGCCAGTTCCTGAGTTTGAGATAGGCAGCACAGTTTCGCTGGATAACCCTCATGGCTGTCAGCTGCTGCTGCCTCTTGGTGAACGCTCTATAATTAGAATAACAAATAAAGATTACCCTGCAGACCAGATTATGAGAACTGAGTAAGAAATCACAGCATGCTCCAATGTTGCCCATGTGCAAAGGTGCTAGCTGAAATAAAATAAAATAAAATAGCTGATGTCTCATACTTGCGGGCCACATATCCTCTGCACCAGGCCTGGAAGCTGATGATCACATCAGTGATCTTTATGTCCCTCTCCTCCTCCAGGTGGGCCAGGACTCCAGCCCTGAAGAACACTTTGCTCTGACCGATGCGGAACAGGTTTGAGTCGAGCTCCAGGGCTTTGATCTGACATGCAGAACAGGGAAGTGTTTCAGTGAAACAAAACAAGACTTGTGATGAGTCCTCTTGCTCTTATGATAAATTGAAAGCTTCTACAGCTGATCAGATTGTGTTGTTCTTACCATGAGCACACAGGCTTGCTTGCCGTCCATAAATCCCTTTGGAATAGCGGTAGGAGTGAGGATTTCATACCTGAGAGAGAAGATCACCATTAAATCAATTAGCAGATAAAAAGGCTGACACTTTCAGGGTCAAAACTAATCTGTAAAATCAAATCCATGTAATGAAACAAATAGGCTGTTTTTTCTGTCCTTTCCTGTTTGGAAACCCCGCCCAAAAATAAAGTGTACATAACAAAGTGTTGTGTACTTGACGTGTTGAGTGTGCAGAACTAAATGGGACATCCTGAACACTTCTGATTAAAATCGAATGTAGATCATTTTCATGTTTGTGACCTACGTATGTTGTGAGACTGGTTCAGTTTGTTTATTTGCAAGAAAACTAAGAATAAAGATTTGTATGTAGATTTGACCAGATGTGTGGTTTGCTCCAGTTTACATTTTTAGTTTTTGCACTGCAGAATAAATTAATATAACCATTTCCTTAAGGGGAGATATTTTCCCCAATTGCACATTAAATAAATAAATTTTAAAAAAAAAATCAAGTTGTTGCCTCAAGTTAATGAGAAAATAATTTGGAGATTATTTAGCATTCAGACTGCTGTTGTTCTACTTAGACACCGAGGTGGTTTAATTAGGATATCAACATTTACAGTATTTAAAGAATGAATACAATTTAAATAACAGCCCATCATTCTTGTATGAAATGCCCTCATGGGAGAGTTTATTTAGCAGTGGGAAAAAATGAGCCTAAACCTCTTATATAAATGTATAAAAAAAAAAATTTAAAAAAGATGACAGAAAAAAAACAACAAAAAAAACCCCACAATCTGCTGTTTTGTTGTTTTGGGTTTTTTTTTTGTGTAAAAAACAAAAACAAAAACAAAAAACCTACCTCTGTCTGAACTCCTGGAAGACGATGCGGTTGGGGAAGCCCTGTCTGCAGATCCGAATCCCCTCCAAGACTCCGTTACACCTGAGCTGGTCCAGAACCAGGTGAGCTTCCAGTTTCCCAGCCTGGAGGAAGAAACGATTGAAAAGATGGATTCATGTGTTCCGTCTATTAATCCTAGAAATGCTGTCAGTTTCACGGTTCAGATAAACAGGCTCAAGTTGGCAGATGCACATGATCAGTTTTAATCACGACACGTGACTGATGCAACAGTCTATCTGCAGTGCTGAGAAATTCATCGAGTGTGGCATCAGTTTGTTTATTCAGTACCTTCTTCTCGTGGTTCGGGATGATGCAGCGGACAAAATTGGGGTTGGTGTTTCTAAGGGTGGTCATGAGGTTAGTCAGCTGCTCCTTGTAAAGCTGACCCACGGTGCGGAACATACCCTTTCGAGTTTTGAACGCACCCTGCGCAGAGTCCGACATTCCTGCCACCTTATCCAGGCCGACGATACGATCCACTGTTAAGATGCACAGAGCACAACTGAGTTCAGCTGTGTTGATCATTGTGTGACTTGGCTCTTAATGGTGCTGACACTAGTGAATCTAAATTTTTATGCCTCACACTCAAAGAACTGGGCCTCCTGGATACACAGATAAAGTCAGTCACATGACCTACCATCTCTCCACAAGTCAGAGGTAAACTTGTCTGTAGACTGATTGAGCAAAGTGGCCACACACTCATTCAGAGGATCCATGTTCTTCATCAGCCATGCGTTTGCCTTGTAGTCCACCTGCAGGAGACGGATGTAAAACACAGGATGATCAGCAACCTCGGCCTTATTTTTAAGTTTGTGCTTCAAATGCCCCATTTTATATAGAACCTGATGCTTTGCTGCAATGAATAAATCATGCAGCTGGTAAACATGTTTTTGTATTCCGTGACCCTGAACTGGATAAGCGGTTCAGAAAATACACTGATGGATGAATGCTGTGTGGGCTGTCATTTTGCTGCCATCTAGTGGCACGTAGAAAGTACATTACTCAAGTTGTGACCTTAATATTTTTCCGTTTTATTTATAAATCCCCAAGTTACAGTTGCCTAAAGGTGCTTTGTGTTGCAACAGAAAAAGAAAAAAAAAAAGCCAAATAATCAGATGATCTACGAGAAAACACTCGGCGACGGTGGGAAGGAAAAACTCCCTTTCAAAAACTGGAAGAAACATCAAAGTGACTGTCATCTGACTCAAATACAGCGTTAGAGTATCTGAAAATTACACTCATCATTTAAGAATAGCAAAGTAGTAAGGAGCCGGAAATACATGGACAAAGTAAACTTATAATACATCACTCCTAAAGTAGTTTGTATACTTGTGAGATAATACAGCAAAAGTGATTTCAAGGCTTATTTACAGGTTCAGGAACAGAATTTATAAGATTTCAGTTACTACTAAAAATGTTGTTGTGTATCATTTATTTATTAAAATAAATACTAATTAAGACTAAAATAAAAATGATTTCACATCTGACCTTTCCAGCATAGTGAATGATGCAGAAATCTGCATCATCCTTGAGTTTTTTGGGTTTCTGGAACTTGGGGTGTGAGCCCTGCTCCTGAGACACCTTCTCCACAAACGACTTGTCAGTGGCTTTGGGGAACCAGCACTCTTCATCCAGCAGGGCCAGGATACCAGGAGGACTGGCCTGTAACACACACACACACACACACACACACACACTTCAGAGGAATCCACTTAATCATGAAGTTTGGTTTCCATGCCACAATTATTGCACAACTGTTTGCTGTGAAGAACGTAAGCGGAAATTTCTGCAGAACACACGTAATTAATCAGAGGCGTCGCTCCAGGTTAAGACAGTTACTGCCGGAGGAGAAATGACAACTATAAGTCAACATACAGGTTTTTCAATGAGGTCGATGCAGGGCTGCAGGTCGAGGCCGAAGTCGATGAAGCTCCACTCGATGCCCTCCCTCTGGTACTCCTCCTGCTCCAGGATGAACATGGTGTGGTTGAAGAGCTGCTGCAGCTTCTCGTTGGTGTAGTTGATGCAGAGCTGCTCAAACGAGTTCAGCTGCAGGGGGAAGAGAAAAAAAAAAAAACCCACACACATAACAACAAAGGACAGAGTCATTTCAGTGAATGGAAAATAAAACATTTTTCCCTTGTAGAAATAAACTGATTATTTTTTAAATAATTTACATTTATAATATTTATGCTGAAAAATCATGAGGTTACACAGTTTGAATTGCTAAACCTGGTGTAGTATAGAAGTATATACACAAGTTAAATCTTTCGGCTGCTCCCTTTAAGGCTCACCACTGCAGATCCTCTCCTACTCCCAACCCTCTGCATGTCCCTCCCTACATCCATGAAGCTTTTGTGTGGTCCTCCTTTTCTCCTACCTGGCTGCTCCATCTTTAACATCCTTTTGTCCAGTATATTCACCATCCCTCATCTCTGTGTCCAAACCACTCAGCCTGGGCTCTCCCTCTCTGACGAACTCATTTGTAATCTTGACTGTTCTGCTCACCCCCGATGAAAATCTGAGCATCTTCAACTTGTAAACCTTCCCTTTCACTCTCACTGCTATCATGTTACAGATGTTGATTGTCCCTTGTTTCGGCTGGTGGATCCCTGGTATTTAAACTCATGTGCTTGTATTATTTTGATTGAACTTTCCCTCTCCTCTCTCTGCAGGATGCAAAATCAAACAGACAATATTTAAGTCTAAATGTACCTCAAAGATCTCAAATCCAGCGATATCCAAGATACCAATGAAAGAGGCTCCCTGCCTCTTGGTCTTATCCAAGGCCTTATTGATTCTCATGACCAGCCAGCGGAACATCCTCTCGTAGGAGGCTTTGGCCAGAGCCTCGACTGCAAACTCGGCCTGCTCCTGAGTCTGGGCCTTCTGCACATAGTCCCTACCAACCTGGAGAAAGGAACAGGACACATGTGGATGAAATGTGTTCCTAAAATGACATGACACGACAACAATCACAGATTTTCAGACCTTGATTCTTGGAGACAAGATGGCTCGTGTGAAGTCGGTCACATTGATGCCAAGTAGGTGGCACACTTTCTGAGCAGCTGGGGGTGAAACACGGGTATCATATTGGAGCATGCAAAGGTTGATGCGTGAATGAAATGGCATGCAGCTGAAGGCACGCATAGAGGACAAGACGATGATGGTGTGTGTAAATGCGTATACCGGTGTCATCGGGCAAGGAGGCCTGGTCAGAGTTGCGCTCCTTTTTGAAAGTCATGTTCCCCAACTGCAGCACGGCAGACACCAGCTTCAACAGGCCTGACCAAGAAACAAAAGTCAATGTCAGCATGTCTGGTCACCTCGCAAATTAAAAACACCCAAAAGATATTCGGACTTATCTGGGAAATCAAAGGCATAACTAGAACGCAATTTTTAAACCCTGCGCTGTAACCTTACACATAACCTGACGTCCACCTCCCGAGACACATCAGGTCGACCCAGCCCGCAACAACTGAATGGTGTAGGAGTCCACGGTGTAAGGTTGTTCAGACTAAAATTAACCTTGAGTTGTATAAGTAGTATGTCTACTCTATACACGACTTAACCCAACTTCCCAAAGCTTTTCTAGCCTTTCCCAAGTTTGTGCAACAGCATCATGGTGATGTCACACCAAATCACATGCATTAAAGTCTTTTCTTGAACTTGTCACGCATCTTATTTAAACATAAAATAGCATTTCTTTGCAATTTAAAATAAATGCCTAAAAATGTGAGATTTGAGAAACAAAAAAAAAAAAAAACCACAACACCACCACCAGGTAAGACGTGTGTGGAAAACCTTAAAAAGCATTATTAAAATCAATTAGTCACAAAATTAACTTGCAGACTAACCGATAGTTAAAATAAACAAAATTATAAGTACCAGTTATTTCTTCATCTGGGATGCTCATGATGTTAAAGGCCTCCATGGTTTCGGCGTACAGGTCTTTGTCCTGCTGTCCGGGAATGGTCACATGTCCGTTGGACAGGAAACGGTACTTGCTGTAATCCTCCAAACACAACTCCGCTGGATAATAACGAGAAGGAGAGAGATTGATTCACCAAGTACTCTTCATTTTATTTCTGTAAAGCTGAAGATTTGGGCCTTGCATTGGCTCAACCGCAAACAGAGCTCTGCAGTCGCAGTGGCTGTAACGACGGAGTGAAGAAAAAGTGAAGCTCCATCATCGCGGCCCAAGTCGGCCATTTCTGATGCATTACTAGGAGTTCCTCATAGATTGCAGTGATTAAAAATGTAAAGCACATGCAGCTGGCAGGGCTGGCACAGTGACTTGGCTCTGTGCAGCCTCTCATTACATTCATGCTGTGAGAAAAGGGTTTCAGTGCTCACAGCGCAGCTTCTCCCCGGCTCCCGTCAGCATGTAGTAGAAGATGTGGAAGCCCCTCTCGTCTTTAGCTTGTCTCACAGCTCGAGACTTCTCCAAAAGATCTGACAATTCAATCAAGGACAAAACATCAAAAGGAAGAGCAGCAGCACAGCGTCATCTATAAGAAAAACCAGTTCATGGTAAAGTGATTAATTTAATCTGTTTGGCACCTTTGAAGCCCTCAGATTTTATTCATCACTTTATCTGAACTTCAGTCCTTTTCTTACAGGAAGGCCAAATGTCCAGACTACTTTTAATGATGCATAAATCAGAACTTAACAGGTGCAAGGTTTGGCAAAGAGCAGAAACGCCTCCAGAATTTTTACATTTGTGAGGGTGGCTAGTGCCCCGCTTGGCTCACCGTCAATGCTGCCCCTGGGAAAGAGGTGTAAGAGTTCACGGGAACATTAGCTCTTTTTTTCAGATTAGGCCAGAAGAAATCAAGTTTTAAAAGGATACAAGTTTCAATGTTGGCTCCAACGATGTAACCATTGACATCAAAGTTGATCCTGATGAATTTTCCCTGAAAAATATATATATATTTTTAAATAAATCCACCACAAAAAGACATTAAGTCAATTTTCACCAAACGTTTATAGACTTTGTCTGAAAATAATCAACACATTTGGACCAAACAGCAGGAACTTCTACTCAGGCAGCATCTTTCACCAGTGTGAGATCCAAGGTGGACCATTTCCTGGTAGTTGTATAAACATGTAGATAACCTTTTGTAGCTCAGAGTCTTTCAAAGTTGATATTTCTATTGTAAGTACTATTTAAGAAATACAACTACAAAAAACAAAAAGAAAACTACACTATTGGAGGGTTTTTTTAAATTATTTGTTTTGGTTATGTATGTTTATTTGGGGATTTGGTGTTTTGGAGGGAATAATTTTATCGGACAGAAATAAGTGTCTTTACTGCACATGTGACAATAAAACTTAAAAAAAACAAAACAAAAAAAACTGATGTGCACCACATTTAAAAACAAAACAAAAAAACAAACAAACACGAGACTCTTAAATGTCAATGTGATTCTCCCAAAATGTGTCCTGAGTTTATGACTGAAAAGATTTAAAAACCCTGGTTGTGTCTACTGATTTCCCGGTCATCCGGGTTGCAGTAGTTTAAGTGCTTGAAATGAACGACGTTCACACGTTACACTGTTTCAAAGGAGTGAATGAGGCCATCTAGGTCCACTGTGAATGAGCGTCACTGAACAGCAGCTCTCAGATCTACGACGGAGTCTTGAAATCTCTTCCCCACTCACACCTTGGCTCATGTGACCCTTAATGACTCGAATGTTTACAGGGTGGGTGGATCGGCAACTCTCAGGACTTGGTATCTAACTTGCGTTAATTATCTGTGACTCTCCATCAGTTTTTAAAAACTGAAAAGACCTCCTGAATCAGAGGAGAAACATCTTTAAGAACTACAGACAGAAGTCCGGATGCCTTCATTTCAAGCACTTTTGCATTCATCCCAAGTGTCAAGTGTTGTTGCGTCATACATGCTAGGCAGAAAAAGTTGGTAGCTTCTGCTGTTTGAACCCTTTTCAAAGCTTGTTTTGAAAATTTAAAGAAAATAGAAAAAGAGCAGCTCTTACAAATCTTGAGGAGTTGTCATTCTTTACAGTCTTTGCGTTGCCAAAGGCCTCCAGGATCGGGTTTGCTTGCAGCAGCTGCTTCTCCAGTTCCCCCTGACAGAGAGAAGTCGGAGCCACAACAGAGTTGGATTCAGTGGTTTAATGTGACACTCAGATGGACGCTGGTTAAGCAAGCGCAAGTTTAGACCACTTTTCCTGCAGCTCTGTGGCTAGCGAGTGGAAAACAAGTGTGCAGCAACTTATTTACTTTATTATAAACAATTGTGTCTGCACAATTAAAACAACAGCCTCAGAAAAAGGCATTATTACACACACTCCTGCACATTCCCACTGCACAGCAAGCCCGCTCAAGCACAAAATCCCTGTAAGATTTTCTGTCCATGCATGCACAAACAAGGGATCACAAGCAGCACACATGCAGGTTAGTCAAAAACCCCAAAAGGAAATGCAGGTAGATTCCAACAATCTGTATACAGTCACACAACAATGACAAATCGCAGCAACTGAGCAAACAGAGAGAGAGTTTAAAAAACTGCTGCTGGGTGGAGTGGGAAATGTTTGTCTCGTTTCCCTTTATTTCCTCAAACCACAAAAGATTCTTTAATGTGAATGAAATTTTTATTTTTGCAGTGTAGCCGTCTTTATCATTAGGCAAAAACTGAACCCAAATATAACGAGAATCAGTGAGAAAGTGCAGCACTGGAAGGAGCGAGAAGAAAAAGTTATTGGCCTTTGTGCATTAGGTTTTTTTAAATTTGCTTTAAGTTTTTGGAACAAATTGCTGAGTTGTTGATTACAAACATCTGGTTAATTAAAAATGTAATCAATAAAACTCAAATTTGTAAAATAATATTCAGTTGAAACCATCAGAGTGGCCTCGATTGGAAGTTACTAATCTTAATCTTATCATTTTACACCCTGTACACAGCCAACTATAAATACAAAATATGGAAAGTGCTGTTTTTAAATGGGAAGTTTTGTGCATTCCTGCTTGGTAAAATTGTGTTGTTACACAGCTGAAACTAAGATGAAATAACATGTTTTGTGGGTTTGCAGTTTCCACATGCTTTAAGTCTTTTTCCAAAGCTAAGTGCTTGATCTTAAAGATACAAATGGTCTTTCCTCAGCCAGAAAGCACATTTCCCCAAGCTGCTCCTTTGAAGCCATTATAATGCTTCGTTTTGTGTAATCTTGAATGCATTTTCTTCAATGTGAAGAAAACAAAATTGGTTAGTAGAGAAAACTTAAGTGGACATTTATGAGGTCATAAATGAACTCACATGTGACAACACAGCAGAGCCCTGGAGAAAAAGTAGAAGAAAAAAAAAAAAGAAAGTTGAACATATTTGATGCCATCTTCAGTGCAAGTATTACATGACTGCAGAGGAAACCTGCTGTCACCTGGTGACTCAAGAAATGATTAATTAAGCAGCTCGTGTCCGGTCCTGCTGAATAACCTACATTTAACATGAGTAGTACATGAACACACACGTGCACAAACACATCTGCGTTCTGCTTCAGCTGGAGCCGCCGCAGAGGTGAGGCGGGCACGTCGAGGCCTGAAATAGGAATGCGGTCGCACACAGCTTCCTCGAGTAAAGCACGTTAAACAGATGGACTAACAAGGAAATCTACTGATACTTGATGTCAGAAGAGGGGAGGGAGGACCAGGTAATTCAACGTTTGTGCAAAAGGAAGCGACGATGATTTACTAACCTGGTCTTTTTTGGACTTGAAGGATGAGGCGACATGAGCAAGATACTGAATGACTTTCTTGGTGTTTTCTGTTTTTCCTGCTCCTGACTCCCCACTGCAGCAGAGAGATTTACACACATGCATTATGATTAATTTAGAACTGATATTTTTCTGTCTTGTTGTTGCTTTTACGTCAGTTATCAATTTGCAGAAATTTAAGTAAATACTGATGCAGTTTGAGGTTAAAGTGATATATGATGGAAGTCTATGGATTTATATCAGCATAACCTTAAGCCATTTATTTAATAAAAACTAAGCCAAAATGCAGAAGCAGTGTGTGAAAAACTAAAGCACACCTTTGCTGCTTGTACAGGAATTAAGATTGTAAGTAGCAGCCAGGTGCCGCTATTTAAATGCACTTTATTGACCGATCATCAGCGAGTGTTGAGCGCCTCTGTAAAAGCAGAAGTTTCGAGGGTTTGCAGGTCTGACGCGTTCAGATACGAGTCATTGTGGTGACGACGAGGAAAGACATCAGCAGCGATTTTAGAGAATCAGATGCTGCTGCCTGTCAGCGTGGGGTTATACGGTCATTTCCAAACAAAGCATTCAAAACTGACAATCTTCCCAGGAGAGCCACTCCAAAGTCAGACCGCGCACCACTTGAAATATCAAAGTTCACAACAGTATAGTTAGAAAAAGACTGAACAAATACGGCTGTTTGGAAGGTCTGCCAGGAGGAAATAACATCTGTTGCAAAGTTACATCTGAACATGCAGTGTTCTTTGTCTTGTCAGCATCACATTGATGAAGACTCCAACATGACATACCACTACACACCTCATACAGATACCAAACCCGGTGTGGTGGTGTTTGCTTCAGACTTTAAGACAGCTGTGAATAAACTAATGCCCACAAACCCCAGTGACTGTGGGGTGGACTTTTCCACGCTCTGCTTCTGTGTGTCATGTGCTTTGTTTTATTTCACGAAGTCTTGACAGGTGCACCATCAACTGAGGTAATGACAGTGTTTTTATGGCCTTTGGGAGTCTAGAACAATCAAATAATTTAGTCAAGTGTCTAATGGAAGACCTCCTTAAGCTTTACTACAGTGTTAGCATGAAGGAGGACACACTTCTAAAAACTGAGACATCAAATTTTTTAAATTAAAAAAAAAAGCTTAAAGTTTTGCTCTGAAAATGAAACTTCTAGACTAAATATTAGGCACTGGATATAACGCATGATGTCAAACTTTCCGCTACAAGAAAAAAAAAAGTAGCGCAAACAAAGGTGCAATGATTGTAATTTGTTTTTGCAAAAACAAAAAAAAATGAACAAAAAAAGAGAGACTTGCGTGCAGAGGATGGACTGATCTTCACGATCTGTAAAAGAGAAAGATGAGACTCCAGATCAGAAACTAAGGTGAAGTGTGTGACATTTTAAACATTATTTTCCTTAAGCGTGCCACTAAATTTCTAATTACATCTTTGTACGGTACATCATTGAGCTGATGGAGTATGGACGTGTTTAAAACTAATTTTACAGCTGCCTTACCCTGCATCATGCTCCTGTAGGCCGTGTCTGTGATGGCGTAGATGTGAGGGGGCATCTCGTGCCTCTTCTTGCCCTTGTACATGTTCACGATCTCCTCGCTGTAGATGGGCAGGTGTTTGTACGGGTTGATCACAACGCAGAAGAGGCCGGAGTACGTCTGCGCGAGAGACAACACGAGACCAATCAGTCGACGAGGAGCAGCAGCAACATCGATTTCGGGAAGATCGGCGACATTAAAATGCAACAAAAACAGATCCCTGCCCACTCACATAGATGAGTCCGGAGTAGTATCTCTCCTTGAGGTTGTGCAGCACAGAGGCCTCGTTCAGGCAGGTGAGCTCCGCCATGTCCTCCACCTTGCTGAATTTGGGTGGGTTCATCTTCTGAATGTCATCCTTGTTGAATTTCACCTGAGATTAACAGAAGCAGAGTCAGGCTTGCTGAGCAAGGCTGGGACAGTAAAAAGTACACACTGCAACACAGGCTTGTTGATTCTTCAGTTTCACCTTCTTGCCAGAGTCCGTCAGCTCCACCACGCACTCGTCTCCCTTCTCCTCTTTGATGGAGCCGGCCTCAAAACCCATCTTCTCACTGGGGACCCACACCAGCTTCTTGGTGGCCCAGTCGGCCTGAGCCAGAGGGTCGGTCAGCGCACTGCGGTCCCCATACAGGAACTTGTCTGCATCCGTCATGGTAGCTTTTAAAAAAAACAAAGCAAACAGAACAAGAGGATTTTAACAAATATCAAAACACTGACAGTCTGATCTTTCACATCTTACAGACAAGAGCACTGAAATTATTGGGGCAAAAAATAACTTTCTGTGAGAATTAAAAATACCTCCTTACAGAGGGGTACACACATTACTTTACAGCAGCCGTTTCTGTGAGATTAAGGGCTAGAGATATGATGCGCTGGATTATTTTGACAGAATTTCTTGCAGGTACAGCGAACAAGCTCTTGAGTCTCAAATCACAAGCTCCCAGAGACGCTGCAGAGTTTACCAACCTCAAAACCACAGTCGACGCAAAAATACAATTTAAAACGCAGATGACTCATGAGTCCAAGTCATCTACACAGCCTGTACCAAAAAAAACAAACCCATTTATTGTTGTGCAAGATTTAAGACCATCCAAGTGACTGTGCACGTTTGATTCATTGAAAGATTTCTACATAAAGGCAGGCTTACGACACTGAACGCAGTGTGTTCACAGTGGCAGCTTTGTTGCGCGTCATCCTTCCCGTTGTCTCTTTTGTGTTGTAACTGAATTAAAGACACAAATGAGATAACTCTGAGTAAATAAAAATATTCAGATTAATGATTCAGATCACACCACCAATACTGAGGACTGTGCTACCTCATCTTATGTGTGTGTGCGTTTGTGTTCTTTTTGAAGATGATGAGAACTGAACTGCACCACAGGTTTGGACATCTGCTCTGCAGCTGTTCCCCGCAGTGTCATTATGACCATGTAGCCTCTTTTCCTGCAACCACCTTTAACTTTAAACTAGAGCTGGGACAGCCAATCAACCCAGATACTAATGTCAGGATCACATTATTGACCTGAGGCTCATCGCAGTCAGACAAAATGATTAATCTCTTTTCAGCTGTGCTCTGCTCTACGACTGCTTTTATTTTTCTACCTGTCCATCTTTTGTTCCCCATCAGGCCCGCATTCCTTCCTCACCAACTCATTACACAGAATTCCACAAATTCCCGACTCCTGCTCGTCATCCGTGACCCTCTGTTCCAGCACAGGTGATAAATGTGCAGCTATGCTGCTCTGTGTAGAGCCTATATGTAAAAAGCCTGACGGAGGTCTGTGGACGGACGCTTTTGCACTCAGAGTGGTAGAAAGGAATGTCGGAGCAAGTCTGGACAGGTGGAGAAATGTGATTATTCCCCAGCCACACCCTGGAGAAGTACTCGGGGCTGCAGAAAGAAAAAGAAATGCCCTGAAAGACATTAAAAACCTAAATAAATAATCACCTGGATGTGACCTTGCCAAGAAAATTTGCACATGGTGAATGCAAATTAAAGTTATTGACAGCCAGTTTTTCCCCCCATTAAAAGAGTTTCTGTTCAGATGAACACTGATTTATAATCTTTTACTTACAGCTTAGAGCTTTGAGTCGTGCCCACTAAACAACCGTTTCATTTTCTGTCAAGAAAAAGGCACGTCTGTGACTGAAGCGTGCAACAACTCCACTTTGTTGCACAAAAGAGACAAACCAGCACTGATAAAAGGAGATGATAAGCTTCTCATAGATCAAACTATTTGGAACCAGTTCTCACCCCTGATGTTCAAAGCTTTTAGATGACTTAAGCTAGTGGAACATTTCCCCTTCCTGAAGTCATATTAGAAAAAAATCAAACATTAGAAAAACCAGTGTTTCAGCTGCATCACGCAGGCCGGAAACTACTGAACTCCAAGCAGAGAGGCCGGGAAAGAACTCAAAACATCAGACTCAGTGTAGATACTGTAGGTAGAAGATAAAGTTTTCCACACATCAACACCATCCTTCACCGATTAAGGATATAAATGCAGGTCTGTTTTATCGAATGATCCTGAAATGATAAGTTGGGCTGTAAGAGCGTTCATCATGAGCGCAGCCTGCACACCCTCGATGCTGAGACTCATTCAGAGGAGCCGACGTCTCTTGGATCAGAGGTTGGATGATGCAAAAAACAGCAGAGCGGTGTGTGTGTTTGTTTCTGTGCAGAGATAAAGGCACAGATAGAGTGTGCGAGTGCGCTTAGAGCGAGGGATAAAAGGGATCAGTGGAGAAGGTGTCATCTGTGTCTCTCCTAAGTTCATTATGTGCTCAAAGTCTTGAAGATAAGTGGGGGAGGAAGAGGAACACACTGACATTTCCTCTGCTTTAATTCAGGACTGAAATCCTGCAGAGCGTCGTGTGCGTGAAGCTAAGCTATGACGGCTAAAGTCTTTTACTCTAAACTTTTTAGATTCACATGCATGCGGCTTTTTTGATGAAGCCACCAACAGGCCAACTTCCTCAGGAAGTTGCACACAGTGCCTTTGCACATTTTGACACGGTGGAACAAAATAACAAAATGAGCTACTTCAGTATTCTCTGTTCCTTTTATAATTAAAATCCAAACATTAGCTATCGAAATCCGTGTCCTGGTGAACCTCCGCTGAGGTCGGGATGAAGCTTGACCACATCTGGAAACAGATCCACCCTCAAACACAGCACACGCTCTCCTATTGTCTGCAAGGGCCCGTTTAATCCACCTCTCTTGTGTTCTTCATCACGTTTTCAGCATCTCCTCCACTCGCCTGCTCTCTTTTGTTCTTGGCCGCAAGTCAATCCCGGCTTTATCCGGGCTTCTGTGGCTCTTACCTAACACAGAACACGAGTCCTGTCGTCTGAAGCCTGGCTGGTGATACGAGGCCGGTGGGGTGACAGACTGAGGAGATGTTGAGAATTGTTTAAAATGTGACTGCAGTCATAAGATGTTTGATATGTGAAACGATCGTGGCTGGAAGATGTAGATGGACGAGTGAAAAACAGGTCAAAACAGAAAAGTCAACTTTAAGCCGAAGATGTTGTGCATTTCACTTTGTGTAACAGGCAGAGAGCTGACTGACACCGAGGGTGAGATGGCGTTTTTTTCTGCAGGACCTTGGCTGATTTTGTGGTCACAGTGAAGTTTAATTGCAAAAGAGGAAGAATTGATTATGATCAGCAACCGGTTTTTGCAAGATATGCCCTTCGTACAATTTTTAGAGTTTAAAAAAATAAATAAAAAATAAAATAAATAAAATAAAAAAAAATTCGTGTGCTGCTGCACTGCTCATTGTCCTCTTTGGTGTCTGCTCTCCAATTTTGTGCCCTGCAGACAGACATAGCAGCTGGGTGTGTGCAGTTTGTTACATGAAGGAAGTCAAACAACTCATCTTGTGCAACAATGACAAAAACTGCATTAAACTCTGTAAAAAAGGCAAACATGAGCTCTCGGTACCTCAAATTACTTCAAATTTTGTTTGTGCCATATTGTCATCGTCATCACTTCATGCAGCCTTCCACGCAGTTCATACAGGCCACCAAAATAAAACTTAACCCACATGAAGTTTATTCAGCTGTTTGAGGCTAAAGTTCTGAATTATTGTGAAGGTTTAAAGCCCGTCGAAGTAAAGCTCTCCGATTGTTGGTTTCACAGGTGTGAGAACACAAACACGTCTGCAAACTCGCGTCTCAGCCAACAAATACAAAAAAGTCACTTTAAATTGTTGTCGAAATAATTCCGCAGTCAATGAGACGATAATGGAGCACGCGCTTCACCTGACGAGAGAACCTGCCCAGGTGTGAGCCATTACATATCTTATCTCTTAATTTCTTACTTTGAAGTCTTCGCTACAGCATTTCTATCTCTCTACCTGCAGGAAACGAGGTGACACACCTGATTTTCAGCTACAGGCACTGCAGGTGTGATGAGTCGCCTTCCTGCGTTCGTGTTTGCAGCAGTCCTCCTCCACCACCTCCTTCTCGACACCTTCACAAAACAAGCAGCTGCTCAGGAGGGGCCACAAGAACACCACCTCTCCGCTCCTCTTCGTCGCGTCTTCAGCCGGCTGTCCGCTCCGTCAAGCGCTCCTGCTGCTCAGGCGTGGATCAGCGAGGATGCGTCGACTCCACCTGGGATCGGCCCAGTTTTATTTTTCGCAGGTAAGCCAACGGCCCCGCCCCCTCCTCGCGCGGTGTTCAAGTGCTCCACGTAAAAACGCGGACTTGCGAGTCGCTCTGAATC